TCCTTTCAGAATGCCATTGTTGTTCACCTGAACTTCGCCAATCTGTGTTCGAGAGATTAACGGACATCGCTAGACCTACCAACCGACAACGTCATCACAAGAAGAAGGTTTCTAAAGTTGAATACCTTGCGGTCACTATTAATGTGATTGGCAGAGGAAGAGCCTCGGCTCCTAATTCTGATGAATCAGAAAGAAGCCATTCCTCGACGGTTCGGAAAATTTGTGATGAGTTCGAAGGAGTATATCGACACACTCGGACTCGGACAGGAGCTATTCGCTCGGTTAACTATCAAAGGTTGGCCAATGGTATTATTTCTGATGATGAACATTCGGCAATTGCCGAATCTTAATCTTCAAGTTCCGTCGTGGCATAGGAGGCTTCCGTTTACATGACCGGAAATCCCGAAGACTTGGCCAAAAGAGTTGATGAACACCAAGTCATGCTCCAGGCGCAGCAAGAAACACTTCTTCAGATGAAGGACATGTTGGCCCTGCTCCTTGAAGAAAAAGGCCAAAAGCCTGAGTCCTCTCGGAGGACAATCTCTAAAGAAAAGCAGAAAGCACCGGAGCATTCGGATCGCGAAACTCAGAACATAGAATCTTCTTTTGAAAATGAGAAGGAGACGGAAAGGGAGCTACACCCTCAGTCCTCTAAGGTGGATGAACTAAAGGCTTACCTCAATGCAATCGCCAACAGAAGCGAGCTCCGCGAAGGAGTGGTACAGTTTTATCCTGTTGAGTGGGACACAGCTCCCTACCCAACAAAGTTTAAGGCTCCAACCTTATAACCGTTCGATGGTACAGGATCGCCAAATCAGCACATCTACTACTTCAAGTCTCAGACTTGGGACGTGATAGCAAACGACACCATTTTAACTCGACTGTTCATCGGCACTCTCAAGGGTGTCGCTTTCGAGTGGTTCATGAAACTGCCTGCTGGATCTATTCAGAATGTTCATCGGCACTCTCAAGGGTGTCGCTTTCGAGTGGTTCATGAAACTGCCTGCTGGATCTATTCAGAAATGGGTAGATCTAGAAAGGCGGTGTCGCTTTCGAGTGGTTCATGAAACTGCCTGCTGGATCTATTCAGAAATGGGTAGATCTAGAAAGGCTTTTCTTAGCCAGCTTCTTCGAGGATGATACGGAAGTCTCAGTTCTGACTCTTCTCGCCACTAAGAAAAGGAAAGGAGAATCTATCAAGACTTATGTGGAGAGATTCCGCAACATGGCATTGCGATGCCTGTCAGGTATGACTCAATCAACTTTGGTTGAAACTTGCAGGCACAACTTGCAGACCCAACTCCTCGCTCAAATAGGGGTAGCGGAATGTCGCTCCTGGAGACAATTGGTTTCGCAAGGAGAACAAGCCGAAGAGATCGTGACATGCGTTAAGGATGAAGAAGCTGCTCAACCAAAGCCACAACAGCAACGCAACCAGAACAATGCACCACGATCTAAGGGAATGGAAACTCTGGCTGCCGATTCCAGCACACGAACACCGCCTGCTAAGCAAGGCAAAGCACCGAATCAGCAGAGAGCACCCAAGCAATATGCGTTCAAGGAAGAGCATGTGGACACTTTATTCCACCTACTGCGGACGAACAATAAGTTGTAGCTTCCCGAGATCAGGAAACCAGAAGAGGCAGGCAAAGTTGACAACCCTAACTAGTGTCGTTATCATAGGTTCTTGGGACATCCTACTAGAAAATGCTATGTTTTCAAGGATATCCTGCAAAATCTGGTGAATGCTAAGGTGCTTACATTGAAACCCGAACAGAAGACCGCATCTACCAATTTGATAGCGGTCCAGTTCGGCGATTTCCCTCCGGTAGAGGCTGCAAATGGTGTTATCCTTATCCGTAAAGGGGAAATGCGCATGAAGAACGTTGACTTGCATGGTCAGAAGGACAGGGGGTTGGTACCCCTCACCACCTCAAAAGGGGAGATTATGTGGGTCCATCCTGATTTGATCTAAGACCAACAGTGGACGAACGCCTCGTCCAAAAAGAAAGGAGGCAAGGCTAAGTCATCCAATATGATTAGCCCCTCCATCAATGAGAATGATAATCACCTCAAACCTCTCACCGATTCAGAAGAAGAGAGGATTGTTCTTGCAGCAGACCAAGGAGGCAATTCCGACACCCGATCAGGAAAAACTTACTTGAGGAACTATGATCAAGGTGCTCAAGAAACAGAAATACAGCCCAAGACGTTGGGGGTTCTGTCCCCCATAAGTCAACCGACAAAGGGAAACAAAAAGAGACATGGTATAACAGGAACCTTCTTCAAGGAACCGGAGAGTCAAGTGTCCCCTTCCAATTTAACGTCATGGCACAACTAGCCAATATACCGGCTAGAATCACCTTGTATGAACTCCTACGGTAATCCAAGGATACAAGGGAAGCTCTAATTGAAGCTTTGACGAATACAGAGAGCTTTATTACACAAGTTACTCCACTTTCTCAAGCTCCTGAAAGCCAGTCTTGCGCACAGTGCCTACAAGCAGCAAGAAGTTTACCGTGTATATCTTTCACCCAGGAAGATATGCAGGTCAAGCACAAGCATGATAGACCTTTGTACTATACAGGGTACATTGGGTCCTCGGAAATCAGTTGTGTCCAAGTTGACATGGGCTTAGCGCTCAGCATTATGCCTTATAGGGTCATGCAGGTCTTAGGGATTCCTATACATCGGTTGAACACCACCCAGACCACTATTTTCAGTTTCAACGCCAATAGTACCCAACCTTTGGGGAAGATCAAGCTCAGGTGCCTGATCGGAGATCTCAAGTCCGAAGTGGCTTGTTACATAATAGATGCGGATAAATCTTACAATTTACTGTTAGGGAGACCGTGGATTCACGCGAATTGTATTATCCCATCTACCCCACACCAGGTCATGAAATATGTCAATGATGAAGATGAGGTTCAGACCCTGATCGCTGAGAAGCAGCCTAGCCTTTCAGAGGGGTAGAAAATTACCACACAGACTCTGTCTTCTACCTAGAGTCCTAAGAGGATCCGAAAGAAGATATTGACAGCGAAAATGAAGCGGACATCGAGCCAGATCCTGAGGAAGAATATCCTTGGGAGTTGAACTTTAATGTACTGGAGCAAATTGAGAGCAATAATGATGTATCGAGTGAAGACGTACAGTGCATTAATGAAGATTTTATTTTGGCGTACTTGTCGAATGTGTCTTTTAAAAATAAACCATTAGAGATCGATACAAATGCAGGTACCGACCCATGGCGCACATTATATGAAGAGGCCTCACTCGCATTACCAATTAAATCATCTTGCACTGTAGACGAAGAAATAGAAGATGCACAGAAGGCTTTCTTCAAAGTCCCGTCCAAAAGGAAAGGGCAGAAACCTATCTATTTCGGGAGAATCAAACCCGAACTACTCAAACGAGGAAGTTTAGAAGAAGATGATGGGGTCCCTCAATTCCATTATCACGAACCCAATTCCATTCGCTTAATGAAACAAATGGGTTATAACTTTAATGAGAAAAAATGGTTAAATTTTGGGAAAGGAAGACGAACGGCAATTCGGATGTCCCTCACTCCTAAAGGAAAACATCCTAATTACTATCAGAAGACTAGAAGAGGCGTGGGTTATGTCACAACCCCTTCTTTTTTAGAAAATGAAACCGATGAGTGTCTGTGTCAAGATCAGTCATCTGGGATATCATCATGTGAATCTGATGTTAGTGTCGGACCTTTCTTTAAAAGTTTGACCGTGAACATGGCTTCAATTAGTCACCAAGATGAAGATGCAGGGGGTGACGAAAAGTTGATTGAATCAACCAGAGACCCTTGGATCAAACGCCTTAATATTTTATGGGATATGTGCTTCGAGCAGCGCGAGCCACCCACTGAAGATAAGGTAATTCAGGTTAACATGGGAGATGAGTCCAACCCTAAACCAATCTTCATAAGTGAAAGCTTATCTCCATCTGAGAAAGAAGACCTTACACCTCTCATTCGAGAATATATAGATGTCTTTGCCTGGAATTAGGAAGATATGCCCGCCCTCGATCCGAAGATAGCCATGCATCGTCTCAACATAGATCAGGACGCTAAACATGTTAAGCAAAAACAACGCCAGTTTTGTCCAGAGATCATGGAAGCAATTGAGTTCGAAGTCAAAAAGCTTATCAACTCGGGCTTTGTCAGAGAGGAACAACACCCTGATTGGGTAGCCAACATCGTTCCGGTGCCCAAGAAAAATGGTAAGGTCCGGATATGCATAGACTTTCGTGACCTTAACGCAACTTGTCCGAAAGATGAGTTTCCACTCCCTATCATGGATGTAATGATCGACAATACCTGTGGATATGAAAGGATGCCTTTCATGGATGGGTTTTCAGGATACAATCAAATCAAAATGTACCCTGAAGATGAAAAACATACTGCTTTTAGAACACCACTGGGGGTGTATTGCTATACTGTGATGCCCTTTGGATTGAAAAACGCAGGCACAACCTACCAACGTGCCATGAATGCAATCTTTCATGATCATCTGCGAAAAAAGATTGAATGCTATGTAGATGACATAGTAGTGAAAAGCCAATACAAAGGTGATCATCTCACAGACCTAAAGATAATGTTCGACCTTATGCGAACATATCAGTTGAAGATGAAACCGACAAAATCTTTCCTGGGAGTATCAAGCGGAAAGTTCCTGGGATTTATAGTTACATCTAAGGGAATTTCTCTTGATCCAGAGAAAGTTCGTGCTATCCAAGACATGCCGTTTCCGAAGAATCTCAAAGAGCTCAGAGGTTTACAAGGCAGATTGGCCTACATCTGGAGATTCATATCTAATCTCTCGGGACGCTGCCAGCCTTTCAACAAGTTAATGAAGAAAGGAATTTCATTTGTTTGGGATGAGGACTTCCAAAGAGCATTTGAGGAGATTAAGAGACACCTTACTCAACCGCCGGTTCTTGTGGCTCCAATATCAGGAAAACCATTCCTGTTATATGTGAGAGCCATGGACCATTCTCTTGGAGCTTTGTTAGGCCAGAACAATGACCAAGGGCAAGAGCAAGCCATCTACTACTTAAGTAGAACTATGATGGGAGGTGAACACCGATATAATCCTGTTGAAAAAGAATGTCTCGCTCTGATATTCGCTATCCAAAATATGCGACATTATCTAGTCAAACAAACTATTCACGTCATTTCTAAGGTAAATCCTTTGAGAGTCTTAATGATGAAACCATCCTCTCTGAATTGCTGATTGGCAAAATGGGTAATCCTCTTGTCACAATATGACATGCAATTCATACCTCAAAAGGCTGTCAAAGGTCAAGCCTTGGCGGATTTCTTGGCTGATCATCCGGCACCGGGATCGTCTAAGTTGTATGAAGATTTACCTGACGAAGTTGCTGAGGCATGTGTGACCTAAGAAAGCATACAAGTGTGGAAATTATTCTTCGACGGTGCATCCAGAGCAAACCCTCATAGACCAATCACTGCTGGAGTAGGACTGGTAATTGTTTCCCCAAAAGGTCATGTGATCCCCAGAGGATTCTCCTTAATCGAGCCATGTACCAACAATGTGGCCGAGTATAATGCTTTGTTATTGGGGATACAATTTGCTGAAAAACTTAACATTCGATATCTCGAGGCTTATGGTGACTCCTAACTCATTGTAAATCAAGTCCGAGGGGAAAATGAAGTGAGAAATGAGGATTTAATCCCATATCACTCAGTTGTGCTAGAGCAAGCTCGGAAGTTCAAAGGCTTCTTTGTCGGATATATTCCTCGAGCTCAGAACACCTATGCAGATGCTTTAGATTCATTGGAAACTTCATTAGTATTGCCACCAGGGGTTGAAATAATAATTCCGATCACAGGACGTGAATTGTACTACTCTAAACTTGTTACAGATGATCGCTCAAACAAAGCCACATCAGAAGAAGCTTGCGCAACCACAATGGAGTTTGAACCCAGGGATTGGAGATTTCCGTATATTGACTATGTCATGTACGAAATTTTGCCTGACAATTCCAAGGAAGCAGCCACGATCAAACGAAAAGCCCTCCGATTGTATTACGACATAGTTTCTTAGACATTATACCGTAAATCACATGATGGAGTTTTGCTTTGATGTCTTTCTAGAAAAGAAGCGAAAGAGGCTCTCAAGGAAGCTCACGACGGAATGTGCGGAGCTCATCAACCCGGGGCTAAGTTGGGAGATCGCCCCCGACGAATTGGCTATTATTGGCCAAAAATATTTTCAGATGCAGTTGACTATGCTAAACGTTGTCACGCATGTCAAATCCATGGTGACTTCATCCATCAAGCGCCAGGGAATTTACATCCAACATCAGCGTCATGGCCATTCGAGATATGGGGAATGGATATTGTCGGGCCCATTACACCACCAACTTCCAAAGGACATCTGTTTATTTTGGCGGTAATCGATTACTTCTCCAAATGGGTAGAAGCAATCCCGTTAAAAGAAGTCAAGACTTCGAATGTAATTAAATTTATCAAACATCACGCCATCTACCGTTTTGGAGTCCCGAGACGGATAGTTCACGACAATGGGACACAATTCGTCAGCTTTGGATTTTAGAGATTTTGTGATAAATTTAGAATCCAAAGCATTGCCTTTACGGCATATTATCCGCCAGCAAACGGCCTTGCAGAAGCATTCAATAAAACAATTGTGAAGCTCCTCAAGAAATTTGTTTCCAACAGCCGATGCGATTGGGACGAAAACTCGGCGAATGTTTGTGGGCCTACCGCACAACGATGAGGACCCCTACAAGAGCCACGCCATTCTCTTTGGTATACGGTTGCGAAGCTGTGCCACCGTTAGAAATTCAGATTCCTTCCCTGAGAATCGCCATCGCAACGGGAATGACAGAGGAAGCAAAGCATCAACTGCGCCTTCAGGAACTTGAAGCATTAGATGACAAGCGACTTCTAGCTCAGCAACAGATTGAGATGTATTAAGCCCGAATTTCTAAAGCCTACAACAAAAAGGTTAAAGAACGAATTTTCGAGAAAGGTGATTTGGTCTTAGCCGCCAGACGACCCATGGTGATGACGCACAAAACCAAAGGGAAGTTTAATATCAAATGGGAAGGGCCTTTCGTAATAGAATCGGTTTATTCGAATGAAGCTTATCGCCTCATCGATCAAAAAGGAGACAGGCTCATGATGCCAATTAACGGAAAGTTCCTTAAGAGATATTTCTCGTAAGTCATGAAGCTCCCTTATTTCTCTCCCAAAATCCAGTCAAGTCAGACTGGGGGTTGTCAACTTAGAGTGTATTTCAAGAATAAATGTTTAATTGTCTTGTCTTATATGTCGTCATGTTAACACTACACCTCTGACGATTGAAATTTTCTGGAATTATTCTAAGTAGTAATAAAGAGAATTTCGATTTCATGCTAAGTTAACACTATACTTACAGCATTTGCATTACTTCTCATTGTCCTGAATTAGAATTCAACAAAAGAGATGATAAAAGACAAAATAATATCATTTTCATTCAATAGTGATAACTTGATACAAAGTGACGCTAAGTGAAATGAAAATGATACAAAATTATTCCCCGGTTAAAAGCTATACAAAAGTTAAAAACGCATCAGCCTAGCAAATTCATTAGCTTAAAGGACTTCAGCCTGGACTTGGATGCATAAAGTTTCTTTTCGTGAGCCGCTCTGACTTGGTCTTCAATCTCTTTCCTGAGTTCTGCTTCAACAGGTGCCGTAGCGACAATCTCTCTTCGAATCCCCTCGGCTGCGTGGAGGGTGTTGTGAAAATCCTTAAAAATGTTGTCACTTTGTAGTTGAAGTCCTTTTCTAACATCCTCATATTGAGCCAACTGAGTCTTCTTCTGGTCCAACTCAGCCTCTAATCGAGCAATAGCTTCTTCAGTGGCACGAATATCAGAAACAACACCATTGATATTAGTATATACTTGAGTATATTGCTTTCTTAAGATCGTTATATTGGCCTTTTTATTAGATAAGTCATTGTGAAGGATCTCTTGATAATGTACCTTCGAGATTGTAGACAAGGAGAGAGCTGGCTCCACTTCAAATTCCAGATTGGAGCACTGCAGCTCCTTGAAAGTTGCCAACTCTGCCTCCAAGAGGATGACACTCCCCTTACAATGTTCAGCCCATGACACATCACCTTTATCCTTGATTTTGTCTAAATAGTCAGTTAAGATGGGTTCACAATCCTTAAAGGAAGCACCTCCAGCACTGATGACATCGATAGTCATCTATATCCAGTATTCTAATTCCTCAATCAGTTTCTTCAGAGCTCTCGAACATGGAGGAGGAGCAGTTGGATAGATCAGACCCGTATACTCATCATGAGTAGGTGGAGGAACAACCTCGAAAGGATGGCCTTCATGTATACCCTGGTCCAGGATGAGAGGAGAGGCGGATTCTAAACCCTCAATGGGCAATATCTTGTCGGCTCCCGCCTCCTTGGGAATAGAAGGGATCGATTGAAGCATTTCGTCCTCCCTATCAACCAAGCACGCAACAGGTGTAGATTTCATCGCGTCCCCCATCAATTTGGTCCTCTTAGAGTTTATGGCAGCGACGGGTTTTCTCTTGTGAATTCTCCTATCATATTCGCCTTCCTCTTCAGCAGTAAGGGCCTCTTTACCTGATCTTAAAGAACGAGGTTCAAGAGTGAGCGCTTCCTTAGGAACTTCCTCAGTCACCTTTTCTTCAGGAGGATTACCAATTAATGCCCCCTCTTGAGTCCCCAGAGAAACATCTTCTTCAGAAGGTTCAATGGTGGGCAACTCTTTTTGGACTTCGATAGCCCTGACATCCCCTCGTTCACAAGATAGATACTCTTCTATTCCCGATAAACGGGTCTTGGTGGAACCGCTTCTCGATTTATATAATTCTCGAATCTCGCTTATGCATGAAGTGTAGATATCATATTCTGGGATTCTAGAAGCCTCATTAAACTAATCGCGGAAGTCCACAACGGTGGAACAATTAGGCGATGAGTGGGGTAAGGTAAAGTGCGCGTGAGTCCCTCCGGCAGAGAAGAAGTACCACGCGTGGGCCCCTTCATACAAATTCCCAACTTGAGCCAATGCTGGATTAGGATTACCAACATAAAGTTGATCATATCCAAACTTCCTGGCAAATCGAGAAGGCATGTAAGGTTCAATGATGCACTTATCCCTCAAGCGGAAGACTAGATAACCCAATATGATCATAAGAAGCCATCTGAAGGTGCCTTATGTCAAGGACGACGAGCCTTCGAAAAGCACGTCTGTAAAGTTGGTACCCTCTTCATTGACTCCATCGAGGTTAGGAGCACAACAGAAAATTCTGTAATTGTCTTCCAAAGACAAAAGTTGTCGAGCCCTGACGATGTAAGAATTAGTCCATGTAGCCGACTCCAATCTCTGCACAAAGGGAATATGAGCTTCGTCATCTTCAGATACCATCGTCATTAATGAAGGGTAATGTAGCATGAACCAGGCTACCAAGTATGTATACGGCATCGGCACGTGTGGTTGAGGTGTTTTACCAGCTCTCCTCCCGGTAATCTTAGTTCCCTGGGCGCCGACAAGCTCAGAGGTCAACGCCCGTAAGCCACTCTGTATGCAGCCTACCATAGCAGTGAGAAGGCTCACTGGCCTCCCGTGAGCTAATAAAATAGATGGGCATACAACCTCAGCCAATATTGCCTCAACCGGCTTCGACGGTACTACGCACCGTTTCAACCAGATCATAAAGAAGCTACCAAGGAGAGCCACGTCGGAAATAGGAGTTGTGGCCTGGTAATGAAAACTTTCAATTTTGACACTAGCCTTAAACCCATCTTCCATGTGATTAGTCTTGTAAGTAGCGTCAGAAGCCTTAATGCGGGCATTAACGCCTTTAGGAGAAATGGCAGCAAGTCGGGTTATGGCCTCATCTTTCTGACTTAAGTTCTGAAAGAGATAGTCTGCCCATGCAGTATGCATAACTTCCCCTCTGCGCATCCCAACAACCTGAGCGCATATATGGAAGTGACACATCAGCTCCTAGAAAGTGGCGTAAACTTCTCGGTGTGTCGCCCTAAAAATAGAGAGCTCTTCAGTAGTGGGGATGAATTCTTCGTAGGGCATTCGACCGAATGGAAACCCTGATACTGCTTGCATCACATGTAGGGCAAAGCCTAATTCCCCTACAGGTGTGAAGAATGTGCAGCTGTCTGGGTTGTATCTCTCCAGCATGGCGAAGAAATTAGGATAACTTTGAATAATCCCATGACGAGTGGCTAACACCGGGGTTGTGAGACCTGATTGAGCGAGCGGTTCCTTAAGCTCCTCAAGAACAAAGTCCAACATCCGGGTCCACCAACCTCATTCTCCAGAACAAACCCATGCTGGGGATCTGAAGGTCTATGCAGGAAATTCTCCCTGAGCTGCAATGAACTGGCGAATGAAGACATTCGCTGGAAGTGGCACTTCTTGAGCGAGATCTTTTTTCTCAAATAAGCCAAGCCTCAAACCCTTGAGTTGTCCCCCAATTTGTGTGCGAGCTCATCGACCAAATCCAAGTGATACATTTTCTCTCTCCTTGACTATATCAAAAGTCAAACCTCGGCGGTAGCTCACGGTCAAAAAGTAGGAGAGTGGATACATCCTCTTCATATTTAGGAGGAAGAGGAAACGGTTTTTGACTCTCCGTAGCAGCTTTGAATCTTCCGCATCTATAAGGCTATCGTCGGCTACTATATGATCTCCAAATATGAATGCTGGCTTAGGGAATTGATCATGGCCGACAGGAGTCTCCAGATCTTAGTCGGTGATTAAAGCTCTGAGAGTAGAGCATAAAGGAAATCTGATCATGTGCGTCCTCTCTGAATCAGGGAAGGTGCACAACGAAATTCTTCCACGAAGACTAAAAGCTTCATTCTTGTCAGGGCCGCCAATGTACCCAAAATGATGCTCCTGCGAAAGCGGCACATTCGGAAGGAACACTGCAAAGTCAAAAGCAAAGATTAGCAGCTAAACAAGCTGTTGACATAAATATAAACACAGAGATCAAGGCCCACGTGCCGAATCTTAAATATAAAAGGCCG